AATCACATACTATAATAAACATAGTCAGGAAACAATATTAATAATTATTGAAAATCCCAAACGGATTTATATTTTTTCTGGTCTAAAGCTACTTAATTCTATAATTTTAGAGAGATCCACGAATATTTTAATTTCTTTTACAATTAGGGATTTATTTATTTAATTTTTTTTTTCATTTCACAAAGAGTTGCTTATCTTAAATAGTTTTTCACATCAGTATTATATTTACTTATGATTTTAATATATTTACTGAGTTCTTATAATTGAAACTACCAGATTCAGATTTTAAGTTTAAATCAAAAATGATTTTTCATTGAATTATTTGACAATCTTAATTAATTGATCATCTGGTTTTACCTGAAATTACTAAAATCATAACATATAATTTTTGAATTTATATCGATGTATATAAGTTATAAATATATTACTTCATATACATATACCAAACCTATATATAAAGGTATGTAATTAAACTTTAAACTCATTTACTTGGAACATGCTACATATACTCACTGAATAGTTTCTATATTTAATTATTCATTGATTATTGATTTCTTCAAAAAATAGATTTGGTTTAATATTTTATAAAATTTCAGTTTTGACTTATCTAATTACTTTTTAGGAGGCTGAGGTTTTTTAATATATACGATTAGAATATGAGTTTACGTAATAAATTTTTTGATTAACGGAGTAGTTTCCCTACAATTTGCAGAGTATCTGTGCATCTCTCGACTTCCCACTAGTATACTTATATACTTACAAATTATTGAATATATGTCCAAAATTTTTATTTATTTTAGTATTTTTTAGCGTTTTTTACATATGGTATAGATAAATATTATAGTCTCAATTCATCAATTGTTTTGTGTGGTTTGCTTAAAATCTAAATTATCTATTGAATGGTCATTGTACATCATATAATAACGTAATGCAGTTCGACGTTTGTAGAATTCGGTCTCGTGATTAAAAGAAAAAAAAAACTCGAGTGTTTTGTTTTTCTATATATTTGACATATGGAACTCTCAATTCCCAAGTGCACTTCGCAATTTTTCATAAATTAATTTCTGTGAATCAGCGAGTGAAACATATTTTGCCGATATAAATCTCATATTTCTATATGCGCTCGTCCACTTTTGTCCACTTGAAAAATAAAATGTAAGTAAAATTTTCAATGAAATTAAAGCAGGAAATCGTTCATATTGCACAATTAAACATTCTCATAACGTTCTTCACAGTGACATTAATTCAAAATTAAGCATTTAACGGTGAAGCTTGCATTGGTAATAATTAATACTACTTAATGGTTGTTATATGTATTATAATATTGCATTTTTAAGTTTATCATTTTGTGATGCATGATTAGTATATTCTACAAAGTCATTGGAATGTTCAATAATATTTGTTTGCCTTCTAGCTGTAATAGATTTAAATGTTCAACAAATCTACTGTGATTAACCTAACCTAACCTACGATAACAACGCTGATACCGTACTTCAAAAAACAATATTATATTAATAAATCGCTATGACAACATTCGTATTTTGTTGATCAATCAAAMATTTTTCATCTTTACCAAAAGTCATTGAAAAACAAAAGTTTTTGTGTTTTTGTGATTATATTCAAAATGAATTACGGTGGATACTTAAAATTTATACCAAAAATTATATGACAATATTCCATATTATAAGTATAATAATAATTTCAAAATACTTTTAATTTTTTTTGATCATCTATAAGCATTAGCAATTTAATTTAAATATAAGCTTAAGAATAATGATACTACTGTAAGTTACCGTTATAACGAAAGTTTAGAAGGCCCCTATCGAAAAACTATTTTAACACTGTTAAATGAATCTCAATATAACGAAATAGTTGATTTTTAAAAATCCCGAACAATGAACTTTTTTACAGGTTTCCCTTCTTAATCTAATCTAATGATAACAAGTACAATATTTAATGAGATTATAAAGCCATTAAATTTGTATTATGTATTACCAAGTTATTCCACGTCAATCGATAACACAACACAATCAGTCGYTGTATATCTACATGAAGTTCACAAGTTAGTATTTTTTTTTTTGTATTTTCCGTATTTTAAGTTTGTTCTTTATTGCACATAAGTACGCGAAGAGTTCTACAGTGAAAAGAAAGCAATTTTCGTTGGAAGAGAAGAAAAATATATTTCTGAGGTAGACAAAGAATTAAAGAAAGACGAAGTCACGAAGTGCTAATAAAGTTTGGAATATCTCCGTCTAGATTATCAACCATTTKGAAGGACCKAGAAAGCATCTTGAAACAACGGCAGACTTCCGTTTTTGTCCCGAGCAGAATAGGATGTGTAAGGTACAATTTGAAGACATTGGTCTTGATCCTGCGGTTTTCAAATGGTTTCAAGATTATCGTTCCAGAAATGCTTTTCTGAACGGTCCTTTTATTCGAAAATAAGCTTTAGAATTTGGTAAAATCGAAGTTCAGAATTTCCAAGCAAGTGTCGGATGGTTAAATCGTTTCTGTGAGTTGTATGGCGTGGTAAGCAAATGAATTTCTGGAGAGACGAGTGACGAGCAAGTGAATTCTGTTAACGAATTACGAAATGGAGAAGTTGCAGCACTTATCAATAAATATAGCCCAAACGATRTCTGCAATGCGAATTAAGTTGAATTGTTTTTTCAGCATGAACTAAAAACAGCGTAAGTCTAGAAAGTAGACAAGTGTGTAGGYGGTAAAGCTTCCATACAATGCATTACCACTCTGTTCTATTGTAACAAATAGGAAACGAAGAAACGAACAATTCTCATTATCGGAAAGTCAACAAAACCTCGTTGTTTCAAAAATTGTAAATCATTTCCATGCATCTATTAAGTTAACAAGAAAGCATGGATGACTCAAATTATTTTTAATGATTGGTTGATAGATTTTGACAAAGAACTGAAAAAGAAGAATAGTAAAATTTTTCATCTTATCTACAACTGTGGTAATCAACCACCGAAATTAGATAACATTCGTGTGGAATATTGCCTTCCTAACTACACAGTTGTACTTTAAATTCTTGACTAAGGTATCTTCAGAGCTGAAAAATCACACAACAGAACTTTTTATTACGTCAAATTGTATGCATTTTGGAGAAAAATATCCAAAGAAAATGCAATGTGAARGAAGGTATCGAATGCATATATGGAGCTTGGGATGATATCAATTAATCAACAATAACTAACTGTTGGAAACATGTAACTACAACCAAAGACGTGTAACGGAAAAATTATGATATACAAATATAAAAAAAGCTCTTCACGGAGCCAACAACTAACATATTTACGACACCCAATCATAGCAAAGGACGAGAACAAAACACCACRTTTTGGACTTAAAAAGGAATTTTCTGTCGGGGAAATTTCCRTATATCATATAGACATCAAAAGTACATCAATAGATAGAGAAAGTCAAGACGAAGACAACATTACCTTCCCCATGGTCGTAACTCAAAAAACAGCTGAGATATTACCAAATCCATTACGAGAGAAAATACAAGTGATCTAATAACTAATGTGTTTACTAGTTGGCACGGATAGTAGTACTTCAGCATAGACTCCAATAAATTCTCATTTTTTTCTTCAAATTTCAACCAGTAAACAATAAACGTTGTCTGTGTTGACGTATTGTACCGGCTCAGTGGCGTGGCGAGGTAAAAGTTACATGTGGGCGAAGTGGACTTAAAGAGGCCCTTTTAAAAWTTTTTTTAACTTCTGTCATATTTCTCTATGGTTAATTATAAAGCCCTATGGAACGCGAGGCCCTTTGAGGTGTGARGCCGTGGGCAATGGCCCACACCGCCCACGCCTAGCGCCGCCACTGGTACCGGTCTGTCTGGTCTTTGTGATTAGTGATTACTGATAATGGTGTAACACGAATTAAGATATATATCTTAATCTTAATTCATGCTGTGTAATGTATTAGTGTGYAGTTTTATCTACGGTGTAGACACTAGACCAGCGATACTCAACCTGCGGCCCTCCAACGATTTATATGTGGCCCGAACAGAACTCATTGAATTGATAAAAAAATATAAGTTTCAAAACTAATATTATTATAAATATAAAATTTGAAGAGAAACTGGAGATCTATTACAAGGAAATACAGAATAAAGKGCTACATAATTTCTCAACCCTTATAAAAGTTAAACAAGATGATATTGTCATTTCTGAAACAAATAAGATAATAATTTTAAATCATTTAGCTGCCTTATCAGCCTAATATTTAATTACATTTTTTTTACACTACATTTTCAAATGTTATACAATATACACAATATATACATTTWTTTTTAGTTTTTTTTTTAATTTCCGTTCCATTCATTTCAACTTGCGGCCCGCGTAATATTTTAAAATATTTTATGTGGCCCAAATAAAAAAAAAGGTTGAGTATGGCTGCACTAGACTGTAAATTACCCATTTTCTATTTATATCTCAATTTTCAGTTAACTGATAAATTATTTGACTGTGAAACGTAGATGCAGCGTATCGCGAATGTATACCGTTGCTATRGACTAGCGTCCCGCATTGTCTAGTTCACGGTCAACTAGGTACCAGCCGAACCAAGATAGGGTAGAGTGCGACCAACTTTGTAATTATAGGAGAGAAAGTATTTCGTGGAAATCATTAACGTTAGAGCAACACGAAATCATGTGGTTAGACGACTATAAAGATCATTGATAGGTGTGTACAGGATGYGGGGTTATGCATCAATACAAAAGTTCCAAGAACCAATGTTATAATGTGATATCATAATATATATTTTTACATAATAATAATGTTAATAATAATATAAATTATCGAGGTCTGTAGCTGCACGGGATGCACCTTTTGACTTGTATGTGGGCGAGTAACATTTCCCGTCAGTCTAGATAACTATACCACATCCGTGAGAACAGCGACAAGAGCAAGTAKACTATGGGGAGTAGAKGGTAGCACTATATAAGGGACCCCGAAACGGCCTGTATTCAGACGCGACTTGACCAGACTAGCCAGAGCACCTTCACGCCAGTCTGTTGTTTAATTTAATTTATTGGACTTTCCTATAAACAATATTTTGAGCTTAGAAAATATTCGAGTCAAACCGAATTTATTCTAATCATTCAGAATACTTAAATATTTAAATAAATTCAGCTTTCATGTTTTTAATAAATATATATGTTTTGTCAAAATAAATAATCAAATAATCTAACTAAGAAGAATTCCACGTTGTTTAATTAACTCAAGAGTCACCTTCCAAAATCATCCTTGACTRCTGATACCTTTAGGCGACGTGATCACTACACCGTATTACCGTTACCTACTGTATCACCAACTACCATTTACTGTGATATAAGATAAGCCGTTGTTTACGTAATGTGAAATCGCCAGCTTGGGGAGACCACACCGAGGAACACGAAAACTTATACAGGGTGTTYGCCGGTGGAATATCAAGGTCTCACATAGACATAACGTTCGTCAACGATAGTAGAAGCCATCTTGTGTGTGACTGGAAAGTGTTGGCGAGTACAGCGCATCACTCYATAGATACATAACGTACAGTGTTACGAGAGAAATTCTGTCGCATACGAGAGAAGTTTGAGACCCTCAACCTGTGGAGTTTCGCAGGGGTCCGTACAGGGGCCGCTGTTGTGGAACCTCATGTATGACGGGCTGCTGGACGAGGAAACGTGAGCGGTATGTCATCAACGGAGCTGGTGGCTTTCGCAGACGATGTGGYGGTGGTGTCAACCGGCCATACGACATGGTTACTGGAAACGGCAACGAACGAGGCGTTGAACAGAGTGGCTGATTGGATGACGAGCGCCGACCTTACCCTGTCAATACGGAAAACTGAAGCCGTGATATTGAATATGGAGAGAGGATTCAGTATGCCGGAGTTCTCGATTGCAGGCACTTGCATCGAAATTAAAGATAACATCAGTTACCTGGGTGTAGAACTCCACTGAGTGCTTGACTTCAGAGCACACGTSGAGACGTCGACGGCGAAGGCACAGACCACCGCATTGGCATTATCAAGGCTGATTCCCAATATCGGAGGCTCGGGGCAGAAGAAGAGTAAACTACTGTCTACGGTTGTGGCGAGCGAATTGTTTTACGCGTCGCCAATATGGGCTAAAGCTCTAGTGTTCAGCCGGAATGTCAAAACCATAGTGAGACCTCAGAGGACGATAGCAGTAAGGATAACGAGGGCTTATCGCACGATATCTACGGCAGCGGTGATGGTGATCACGGGTCTAATACCGGCTCACCTCTTAGCATAGGAGAGGACGTAGAGGTAAATGTGGAAGCACGAACCAGACACAGGCCGAGTGTCTATGGAGATCCATCCAGTAAGGTGTTGCGGAAATGGCAGGTGGAGTGGGATAACGAAAAGAACGGAAGATGGACTTGGAGAATGATAAATAATATCAATACATAAACAAGCAGATAGTACGGAGCTGTAGATTTCCACATGACGCAGTTCCTGTCCAACCACGGATGCTTTGGAGAATACTTGCACAGGATCGGAAAATTGGAGATCACGACTTGTGCAGACTGCCAGAAGGTGATCAACGACGCGGAGCACATGTTTTTCAATTGTGACAGATGGTGGAGGGAAAGAAGACCACTAGAGGTAGATCTGGAAGAGGAATTGAATCCGGATAATACAGTGAAACCTCGGTATCTCAAACTCCGGTATCTCGAAGTTTCTGTATGTCGAATTTTTTTTTTCAGTCTCGATCATTCAGTATTGGACTTACGTATTAAGTTATTTCGATATATCGAATTTCCATAAGTCGAATATTTCTATAAGTCGAAGTCATTATCTGGTACTCAGCGCCTATTATGATTCACTAACTTCTGTGTCTGTTGGAACTTCGTCAATTTGTAGTAGCTTTTTCTGACATACTGTATAGGTACTAACTTCTGGCGTATATTTGCTTCAGAACTCTATCTCGAGTTGTTAGTCGATAAAAACCATCACTTGTCACGTAATTTATGTATCAATAGTATACAGAGACTGATATCTCATACTAACCGTTCATTTTAAACCAGGTTTCTGTTAAACAAATAGTTATAGTTCATCTTCATTAAGTTTTTTATTATCTATTTAGATTGTTTCCAACATTCACATTTCTTCAATTCTTCTAAAAATTAAAAATGAGAATTCGTAAAAATGCCGTACAAAGTCCCCACAACACCGTACAAATTCTAAACTTAAATATCCACACAAGAAATTATTTGTAATTTTTTTTTTTAATTAATTAATTAATTTTTTTTTTCTAATGGAAAGCCTAGAGAAACGTCTGACAGACCCCAAACTTGTTTGGTTATTCCTTTGAAAATAAACCTATATGAATTCTATATTCTCTAACAGGTAAAATAATAAAATACAWGGAATTATTAAATAAATATTTGGTTATAACGAGCCGGTCATTATGTTTTTCCTAATATGTACCTACTTATCCCATTATTTAGGTCCGTCCACGTACGAGRTGTTTGTTATACCTACTGAATTCCTATAATAAGAGTATTTAATTATCTAATAATTAATTCAAATACATATGTACACTATTAGTAAGCTTCAATACACAATAATAAATAGTAATAAAAAGTAGTATTTCTATAAAATTTTCTGGTTTTTTGTTGTAGGTACATTGATATTATTAGAAAAGCATAATATTAGAGAATGCTCAATTCAACAAAGCACATCCTAATAGGTATATTATTTTTAWAAAATATAGTAAACTAAGTGATCTTATACCTACACTATTGGTTGAAAAAAATACTGTCAGTGGAATCAACATAAACAAATATCCACCRAAATTAATAGCCGGCGGAATCAATAAATAAAAAAGCTCTCTGGAATCGATAGCCGGCGGAATTGATATTAAAACGGCGGAATCGATAAAACCCCAAACTATTGATATGACCGATTTCAAGTGTATTAATTTAAAATTATGATAGTATTTATTATACCATAAAAATTGGTTTTGATAATTTACTTCTGATTCAAATCCGACATATCGCAGAATGATATAGGTAAATAGTTTTGTGGAATAATTATAAAATTACCTGAAATTATTCTATATAATATATTGATTATTATATTTCGTATGACATTATATCATAGTTTATATGTGTCAACATTTTAAGTTCATTTGATTTTTTTTTTTTTTTTTAATAAATTCAAACTAACTAAAATTATTATTAATTGCTTAAACATTCAGATGCTTGAATCTTACATAAGTACATAGAAAGGTATTATATCCCAGAGATCATGAAAAAAAAAATTTTAAAACTTGATAGCTCTTAGTTGGCACGTGAATAATTAAAAAAATTATTAGATTATATTTTAATTTTAATAATAAAAAATGTCAAAATGAGAGCACAGTTTTTTCTAATTTATATATTACATAATTTGCTGTTTTCCGATCCATTGACTTTCATATCATTATCCAAAAATATGAAATATTTCGAGATCCCTTTCTCTTTATTT